CAAAAGAATGCCCAAAAGTAGAGAGAGAGTATTGGGGAATTTGCCTGCCATGGAGGCAGGGTAAGGACTGGGATGGAGGGAGGGCAGGGGCTGTACTGAGGACACTGGCGATGGAAACTGCACTGGTGGAGGGATGGGTGTTTGATCATTGTACTGCTGAATCTCAAACGTGAAAGCTTTGTAACTGTATGTCACGGTAATTCAATTTAAAAAAAAAAGTAATGTGGAGTTCATGCCCAATTCAATCAGCTTACTCAATGGCTGAATAAATAGCAGTACTCCTACATGAAAGAAAGAAAGAAAGAAAGAAAGAAAGAAAGAAAGACAGACATAGAATGACTGCCCTCATTTGTGGAATATAAAGTAACATAATAGAAAACTAACACCTAAAGACAGTTGAAATAAGGATCAGCAGGATTGCCCCACGGCTTGGAATCCAATCTCATGCTGGGAAAAGTAGCTGGGATGGAGAGAGGAGCACTAAGTAAATAATGGTTGGAGGGATCGCTCAGGATAGTAGATGCGTGCTAAAAGTAGATTGTGGACCAAACATGTTGACTGTTGGACACTCTATTGCAAACCGTAACACCCAAAAGGACAGAGAGAGTAGGAGGGGATGTGCCTGCCACAGAGGCAGAGGGTGGAAAAGGGTGGGAGAGGGGAAAGGGATACTGGGAACACTGGCGGTGGAGAATGGGCACTGGTGGAGGGATAGATACTTGAACATTGTTTGATTGAAACACAATCATGAAAGTTTTTAAGTTTGTAATTATATCTCACAGTGATATATTAAAATTTTTAAAAATTATAATAAAAAAGAATTTCATGCCCAAACATTCCGACTGAACAATTTAAAATAAGAATAATAGAGGGGGTATGGTGCTGCCAGCAGGTCAATCTGTACCTGTGAAGCGAGTGCATCAGCAGTCTGATGGCGCTTTCAGACTTCCAGTTACCCCAAAATTGCTGCTGTGCCTTTGGCCAGACCCCAAAAATTTGGGGCAAAGTTTAGCAAGAAAGTAAACAGCCAAAAGTTAGGTATGTGGGAGACACACCCACAAACCACCTCTGGCTCAGCTATATAATTGGAGGCATGGGCTCTCTGCTTTCTGATCAGAATGCCTAACGGCCATGATCCCAGAGACTCAGAAACTAATCTTGAAACCCAGGGGCTTTTGGCAGAGATGCGGAGATGCGCCCGGTCCCTGCAGTTGGTTACTGGCATTCGGCCACCCCACGTGGGAATAGGTTTCATGCCTTGACCTGTTCCCTCTGGCAGTCCGGTGGCCATCATCCTCCAGAGGCCACTGGACAGTCAGGTTTGGGCCCACAGTGACGAGACACGTGGGGCATCACAAGATGAAGGTGGAGCCAGCCCTTTCCTCCTGGTCCCAACGAGACCCTGAGTCACCTCCCACAAATGCCCTCTCTGGCTCCTGATCAAGCTGCTTAACGGCCATGATGCAAGAGACTCAGAAACAAATCTCGAAACCCAGAGGCTTTTGGCAGAAAGGAGTCCGGACCCCGCAGTAGGTTACTGTCGCTGGGCCATTCCAGGGAGGAAAGGGTGCTGTCCCTCCGCCTGCTACCCCTTGGCGACTCGGTGGCCCCCATCCTCCAGAGGCCATTGGTCATTCAGGTTTGGACCCTCAGTGACAAGACACGTGGGGCCTCACGGGATGCGGGTGGAGCTAGCCCTTTTCTTCCCACCCCAGCGAGACCCACCCCAAATCGCCAACCACGAACGGCCTCTCTGGCTCTTGATCAAACTGCTTAACAACCATGATCCCAGAGACTCAGGAACAAATCTCTGAACCCAGCAGGTTTTGGCAGAAATCCCTCCAGATTCAACTGTTCAAATTTTGAAATTTCAAAATCACGCAGCCATTACTGCAGCCGTGTGACATCATATGTTATTCATAACCAGCAATAGAAAACAAATTGTCTACTATTGCTTTTTTGGCAGATCTGAGTGTTGGGGTAAAATCACAAATAATAATGGTGGGTCTGGTGTCCAAATATTGAATGTGATCAAAGTAGCAAGAGAGTAATGTGGAGGTCATCTGCCCCACAGGTAGGGGGAGGGTGTGGGATGGCGGTATGCTGGGGTTTTTGGTGGTGGAGAATGGGCACTCATGAAGGTACGGGTGTTTCATTGTATGACTGAGACTTATACCTGAAAGCTTTGTAACTGCTCTCACGGTGATTCAATAAATAAAATTATAAAAAATAAAAAAATAGTAAGGTGGAGTTCATGCCCAATTCAATCAGCCTAATCAGTGGCTGAATAAATAGCAGTACTCCTACATAAAAAAACGAAATAAAAATAAGAATAGTAGATAGTATTAAAAATAGAAACATATAATCATTTTATAAAGTATTTACTTTTAATTTTATTTCCTAAGCATAGTGTGAACATATATCATTTGTTGTTATTGAAAGATTGCATCATATGGTTACTTCATATTATTTAATAAAGAATTTCATAGCTAAAAAAAGGAAATTTTATCTAGCCACTTTTGGTGTAATTTTTATGTCTAGTAATGCTCAGGGGTTATTTCTGGGGTTGGAAGCACTGGGGACCATATGGGGTGCCCTGGATCACACCACAGTCAGCTGTGTGCAAGCAAGTGCCTAAATTCCTGGACCATCTCTCCAGTCACTTGAACTAACCATTTTTTAAATGTTATGTCTTTATGGCTAAGTCCCCGGGGATTGAAGCTACTTCTCATAGTGCACAGTGGGGCCTACCATGCTGTAGATGGAACCCATGGCCTCACACATGAAGGCTTGTGCTGCACTTCTTGACTTAATACCTGTACCTCAGTCCTTCTCTGTTTCTACCTATTTCACAATGTACCTCTCTCTTTACCCCTTTTTCTCTCTGCCCTACCTAGTCTCTGTTGTTCTTCCAGGCTCTCTCTATCCTTTAAACATCTTTTGGAAGTTCTTGTTTCTCTTATCTATCTACATTCTCTACATCTATTTATACATTCATCTACTATAGATTTCCTATTGTTCCTGGTTCCTACATATGTCTATTTTTATATCGTGTGTTGATCTCTAATCATTTCAATAGTTTTGTCTCTGTTTCTCTCACTCTCTCTGATCAATCCACTGTTCCTAGGAATAAAGCTCATAACTGATCAACTTCTCAGAGCTTGGCCTTTGTCTTCCAACAGGAAAAGCAAAAAAGAATATTTTTCTTCATCAGTATCTTCAATATCTGCCTTTCTCTATTCCCTTTCAGGTCTCACACCTGAATCAGAGAAGATAAGCCCATAATTTCCTGTTCCTACAGTAAGGCACAGCGATAGGGCGTTTGCCTTGCGCTCAGCCAACATGGCCGACCCGAGTTCGATTCCTCCGCCCCTCTCGGAGAGCCCGGCAAGCTACCGAGAGTATCGCGCCCACACAGCAGAACCTGGCAAGCTACCCGTGATGTATTCGATATGCCAAACACAGTAACAACAAAGTCTCCAATGGAGACGTTACTGGGCCCGCTCGAGCAAATCGATGATCAATGGGAGGGCCTTTACTTACTTACTTACTTACAGTAAGGAATAAGTGATACTGACTTTTCCTATTAGTGTGACACTAGCATAGGATGAGAAAAATAGACAAAGGAAAACACTTTCCTCTACTCATGCAGAGAGACAGAAAAACCAGGCACAGTCTGATGCCTCGTCCTGGCATCTAAGAGAAAGTCCTTCAAAGCTGCAGGTCCTTACCCTCCTTACTAGCTGTCTTTTATAAAAGACACTGCACTCCAAACCCCCATACATGGCCAACGCATGAATTGTGCTGAATGAAGTGCTGCTTTGGTTCCAAGACTGAAGACACCTGGAGTTTGTGGTACCCTAAACACATGCAACAGGAGCAGTGCTCCGAAAAGCAGACAGACCACACGTTTACTTTACCTGTTCATAGTGAGCTTGCCCATTGGAAGCCCTTCACGCGTTTATTTTAAAATAATAAATAAGTGGCAAAGGAAATAGAAAAATGAATTATTGATGAAATCAAATCACTAAAGTGCTTTCAAACATACATTCTAAAAGATCAAGGACCTTGGTCTGACCTTAAATATTGTGTATAGATATACAAAAATTATTTAAATATAGTTCCATGATATTTTGAAAGAAATGCTTCTTTTTTTGTTGTTTGTGAGTATCAATATGCAAATTCCAGTAAATGATACTCAGAGTAACAACAGAACATTGCCTAACAAAAACATTGAAATGTTTGAACCACGTTCAGAATAAAGATATTTTGGATGTTTATACTGCAACTTCAACATATAGGAAGACATTGAAGACTCTAGAAGTCAAATAATTTTATATTTTCAAATTCAAAACATGGGCATCAGACCTAATTTATTAGTCTGTATGCCATAGTCAAACACACCTCATAAGCTTTTTTAAAACGTTACCTCCTCCCTTCTCAAGTTCTACAAAAGAGAATCAAAATGTCACACTGAATTCACTACAGCAAGGGTCTCTAAGAATGGTTTTCATTCTATCATGAAATGAAATAATTTTCCCAGTCACTCTTCATCTTTTTTTTTCTTTTTTGGTCACACCCAGTGGTGCACAGGAGTTACTTTTGGCTCATGCATACACTCAGGAATTACTTCTGGTGGTGCTCGGGGTACCATATGGTATGCTCGGAATTGAACCCAGGTCAGCCTCAAGCAAGGCAAACGTCCTACCCACTGTGCTATAGCTCCAGCCCCATCCTTTTTAAGTTTTCATTTTATCCTGACACCATAAAGAGAAAAATCTAACCGGAGAATACTTATCTTGGATAATTTTTGCCTCTTAAAAAGTCAGTTTGAAGAGGAGGAATGGGAGTGGGATAAAATTAAAAAATAAAAAGTCAGTGAAGCACGTGCTTATTTACAGCTTTCAAAGAACCTACAGGCCTCAGGAGGCTCTCTCCTTTCTGGCTGAAATCCCTCCAGAATTTGGCATCTGAGCATCCCTGGCAGATGCATCAGGCAATCACCACTGTTCATTCTTACTCTCCTGCCGGGTGGAACTGGAGAGATCAATGGCCACATCTTCCAGGCCTTTCTCAGCGCAGGTTTCACCAGACTTTCTCTGAGGTTCTGCTTGATTTGGACTAGACCTCTTCTTGAGGTGGTCAGTTCCCCAAAGTCCTGCCAACTTTTCTTCACTTTCTGGTTTCCTTATCAAGTCTGTAGATTTTTTATGTGTCCCTTGCAAAAAACAAAGGGGGGGGAGGAGAAAAAAAATATATGACCTCAATTTATCAATTAAGTATATTTCTTCCATCTCATTATTTTCTGAATTCCATTAGAACCTTGATCTTGGGAGCAGACAGACCATTACAGCAAGTAACGGGCTTACCTTGCATACAGCCAGCCCAGTTTTGATCCCCAGTACCCCATCCGTACCTCTGAGACCTATCAGCAGTAATCCCTAATACAGAGCCAGGAGTAAGCTCTGATGAGCACCAGCGGATGTGCTCTCCCACCAAAAGGTGGAAAAAACAGAAAGAAAATTGCTATTGTAGATTCCTGACTCTGAAGCCTCCAGGAGAGTTACATAGACCACACTCTCCAATTAGGGCATGAAAACTGTTTTTCTGTCATCCAAGAACAGTCCGCAAAGGTGGCCTGTGTTGGATGACATGGGAAACTTAAAAATATATTTGCTGCCAACATTTTTATATTAGATTTTGTATCCAAAATCAGACTTTCAGTTTCCCTGGAATTCAGAGTGTTTGGTAGAATGTCTGAATCTACTTTCTTGTATGGCTACAAATATGCAGATGTCTCCAAATATCCCCCCACCTCAACTGCTCACAAAAGCTGGGAGGTTTAGTTTCCTGCCCCCTAGTCTTTCTTCATTTCTTCAATCCTTGATTGTCACAACAACATTTACAATTGGAATCTCTAGTTCCCATGAAGGAGAATTGAAAAACATTTTTTTAGATAGGTCTCATGCGCAGCTCATGCCTAGGGAACCATGAGTGAGGACTCAGGGCCTCACATATGGTAACTATGTGCTTTACCACTTGAATCATAACTCTGGCCCTGGCTTAAAACAAAACAACATAAAAAGTTCACTGAACAAAAATCCTCCAAATCTCCTCTTCAACCTAAAATGTGTCCCCAGGCCTTCTAAGAATTCCACCCTTCCAGACGTGCTGTTTATGACTTCTTCCTGCACACTGTGATCACAGTTCACTGGGGTCTGGTCACAACAGACATCAAGGTCCAGAACACCCAGGCCACACCCCACACCGGACTAGTTTGGGCTAGTCTATTACCTAACATCTAAGAGACAGAAAAGTCACTGGCAGGTTGACAATAAAACCAGAGCCAGAAATGGCCTTCCTGAGTCCAGTATGCAGGTGCTCAAGCCTCCAGCCTACACTATCCTGCTCTCTCAGTTCCTGCTATTCTATTCTGCATTCTCAGTTGAATGACTCCCCCAAATTCCAGTTTCATTCAACACTACGGAAACATTTCCCACACAAGCAATTATGTCATTTCATCTTTTTCTTAAAAAAAAAAAACTTCCTTTGGTTTGGAAGCCATACCCTGTGTTTCTCAGGACTTATTCCTAGCTCTGCAGTGAGGGACCAGTCCTGACCCTGTGCTCAGAGCTATCACAAATCTCTGTACTCTGTGCTCAGTGACTCTAGGCCATGAAACCAGGGTTAGATTCATGTAAGTCAGTGCTTTAGCTCTTGCACTCTCTTCAGCTCCATTTCACTCTTTTTCTGGAAGGTAGGGGAAGGGAAGGGACACAACCACTAGTTCCTAGGGTGTACCCTCATGTGGGTGCTCGGGAATCTAAGAGGGACAATCCTGGGTCTTTTGTCCTTTAAACTATCTTCCTTAAACCAAGACTTATTGGAATATATGGTTTCCACAGTTGCAGTGAAAGATAAGGCAACTGCTCAGATAGTGCAAAGCCTTATCGACTGAATATTCTGTGCTCAAATCTGAGTGCAGCTGCCTTGCCTCACTCTGCACAGGGCTGCAGCTGTGGGTCCTGTCCTTACCCATGAGCCAGGGCGCACAGGAGTCCAGCAGGCCGCCCTCCACAGAGCCCAGCACCGAGTCGGGCAGTGGGATGCAGTGCCGCACCATTGCGCCATAGAGTCCGTACTTGGCCATTAGGGTACTGCCACCCCAGCGCCTCTCCCGCTGGCGCCACTTAGCCCGCCGGTTCTGAAACCAGACCTAGTCGGAGGCAAGGGGAGAGAAAGGGGCGGAACAGAGGAGATGAGGTGAGGGGTGGCATATTGAGGCTTCTTGGGACACTATTTCTAAAATATCCGCACTGGGTGTCAGATGGTGTTGAGCCTCGATCCAGTTTCTGGCTGCACCCACCCTTTTTTCAGCTGAGCAGTGACTCATTATCATAGTGCTCAGGGTCATGCATGCTCACTATGGTTTTCCATGCAAAATATATAAGCAAAGATTCTCCTTATGTGTCTCTCTCTCCTATCTCATTGTTTGCATATAGAATTTCTGGAATGTCTGTGTTGATTGTGTAGCCTAAAAAGTAAAGATTCCTTCCCACGTGTGAAAAGATTATACTATTCCCTGATTTCTCTCATTGATTGGAAAGATCGTTATCTCTCTCTTTGTATATATATATAATATATATGTGTGTGTGTGATATATACATATATGTATATACAGAGTCCACTTTTCTAATCTCAGACTATTGAAGTTTTAATGATATTTCCACTGAAAAAAGTTCCTGGTAAAGGTTAGGGGCAGGTCTTTTTGACAATGGGGAAATGTCCAAGATGTATTATAAATGATAAGACCATTTTTTATGGAAGTAATGTGCATTTGTAACACAGGTTTCAGCAACAAGTCATGATATATGAACATGATATATAAGTCATGGAATATATTGTGCTCAACACTAAAACTAAATCTATCAGTGGTGATTTTTTTCATTAATCTTTACCTAGGTTGTGGAGTTCATGCCCAATTCAATCAGCTAATTAGTGGCTGAATAAATAGCAGTACTCCTACATTAAAAAAAAATCTTTACCTAGGTAGTATCTAGTTGCAGCATACATGTGTCATGTTAAAGAATGACTGAATAACGGGAAACAAGGCATAGAGGTCACTGACCCTTGAAATCATACAAGAGTTGCTAGCATCTATCAGCATGGTATTTGCAGCTTATTGTCATCTGCAGTGAGGGGACATATGAGTGATGGTTCAGGGCAACTGTGGCCGAGACACTAAGCCTTAGAAAATATGTTCTTGGTGTCTCTTTGAAGTAGAGGAAGTGAACCCCAGGCACCTGGATTCGGTCTTCAGGAAGTTCCGTCTTCACAGCCAGCATTTCCCGGGCATACACATCAGGGTAGTGGGCCTCATTAAATGCCTTCTCCAGCTCTTCCAACTGCTGAGCAGTGAAAACAGTTCTGCCAAGAAGCCCAAAGTACATAAGGGTACATATTCACAGGAAGCCAGCAAGCTTTCCACCTGGGCCTCACTAGCCTCTAAACCTCCAAAGCTCACCTACTAATAATGAGATGCCCTACCTCTTATTAATCAGTCTCTGGAAAGACTGGAAGTTTGGTTCGAACAAAGCTCTTTGGCTCATTCTCCTTCTTGAACTGCATCATCTCATTCTAGGATGAGTCATTTTAAAGACCATGTATTTTTCAAACGTTAAAGGGATTTAGTGCACCAAATCACTGCTGTGCCTTCCTTCTGCTAACCTGGAGTCCCTGGACATGCATAGCCCATGAACTTCTACACTACTAAATGCTGTATTCAGGGTAAGGGCAGGTCACAAATTGCCTCTGGGCACCATATAAGCTCATTAATAGCCATGATCCAGAAACTCACAAATAAATCTCAGAAGAGAACAACACGCTGCAGAGATGCCTCTGGACCCCAAAGTCACCATCCAGCTAAAAATTTAACTTCAGCTCTACCACTCTATTTAAATTTTAGAATTCCTGAAGCATGAAGCTGCATTCGCAGCTATGCAACATCTCATATTCTATGCCACTGATGTACCAAGAGTAGGACACTGAATTTGTTGGACAGTAAAATAGAAGGCAACAGATTTCAATCAAAAATAAAAAAGAAAAAAAATATTAGCACACAAGGCTAATAACAACATGTTAGTAATCTCTTATAGAAAGGTTTAATCACTCCAGGATGAGATACAGTAAATCTTCACACTTTCATCTAAGGAAATTTTTTGAATCATTTTAAGTGGATTATTCATAATGCAATACAAAATAAAATCTGCCTTTGGGTCAGGTTTGGGTGGTGGTGGGAAAATTTGAAATCATGCTGGTGGGAAGATATAATGGTGGTGGGATTGCTGTTGGAATATTGAATATAAATTGTTGTAAACAACTTTATAAAAATAATATTTAATTTTAGAAAATAAAAGGGCACGAAGGACATACCTGTGCCGCCGTTTCTTCCTCTTGCTCAGAGTGGGGAATGCCTTCAGGTCACTCCTATTTTCATACAGATTCTCCTCATCTATCAACACAGGAACCAAGGGAGAACTTCAAATGTGAATATGATTTTTATTTTTGAAATTTAACATGAGCGCTGTGATGATTAACTTGTCGGGAACCATAACAATGTAAACTCATATTTTTAACCCTCACTGTATTCTATATCACAGGAACTGTGGTCATGCATTGTTGTAATTATTTAACATAAAATACAAGAAATCCAAGGTATTATTTCTTATTATCCTATTTTTACATATGTGGGAAAAGAGGCACAGAAAGCTTGAGTAACTTGTCCAAGATCACTCTGGGTAATGAATGGTGACATGGGGACTCAAGTCGAAGCTGCTGATGCACTCGCTAAGTTTCCCATCCCTGTTTGGCTTCCAAAAGCCTCACTCCTCCGGCTGCCTCAACTTCCCAGGGACAGTACGTTTCTCAGAGCTCCCTCCAACTGGTGTTTGTCACTGAAAACAATGATCAGATTGCTGTTTCTGCCCTGCCCTTCTCATCCCGAAACTCTGGAAATTTACTTCCAGAAACTCAATTCTGACTATTGTGCCAAGATGATTCACGGCCGAACTTGGCAAAATTCCACTTCACGGTACTTCTGCTGAATCCAGGACGGCGGGCGCTCAGCTCTGGTTCTGCTGGACAGTTCCTCCCATTGCACATTTTTCTGGGGTTTTTACCTTTTTCTTCCCCAAATATCTCTCCAATGCTCAGTCCTGACCTTTTACAGAATTTCTTTGTTTCCTTCCCTTCCCCTTAATCTGCCTAGACTTCTTTGAAGAAATGGGTAGACTGGGAGTGGGGGTGGGGTCCAAGCATGGGGACCCCCCCCGCCCCGAGCTAGACAACGTAGGTGGAGTGAGTGGCGGGCAGGGAGAACCGCTCCGGGAGAGGGGCCTCTGGGTCTCTGCTGCTTCTACCGCTCTCTTCACCATTCAATCCCGCCAACTTGGCGCATCTGCTGGGGAGCTCGGCGTCCCCGGTCTTCCGGAACCCTCGGGGTTCGGGAGGCCTAGAGCTGGGGGGAAGCCTGTCCCTGGTGGGACAGAGCGGCAAGTCCCCGAGGTCTCACGGAGCCGGGTGACCGCGAGTCCCCGGAGGAATAGCAGGAGTGCGGCCGGCGAACTCGTCTCCCCCGCGCGGGCCCGGCTCCTGGGTCTGGACCTCCAGAAAGCCCGGGAGGTGGGGGGGACCTCAGTGGGACAGCGAGGGGAGGCCCTGGACCTCCTCAGCCCAGGGTAACTGGGAGGGAACCAGATGGGCGGGCCCGGTTACCTGACGTCGAGTCGCTCTCGCTGCGCTTCTGGCTGATGAGCCCGCGCGGCGGGTGGCCGCGGGCTTGCGCCCCGGGGTGCAGGAGAGGCACCTCGGCCAGGAGCAGGCAGGCCGGGCGAGGCACGGGCGGAGGCTGCGCCGCCCCAAAGCCGCGGACGACCCCGAGTCGCGGCGGGCCGCCGAGCCCCCCGTCTGCTGCGCGCGGGCAGGCAGAGCCCTGGTCGGGCCCAGCCGGCTCCGACGTCTCGACCTCCAGGCCCAGCAGGTCGGTGATAGCGAAGCCCCGGGGGCGCGCGCAGGCCGGGGCCGCGGGGCCCCCAGCCCTCTCCGAGTCGCGCCCGTCGGAAGGCCAGTTCTGGGCGGCCATGACAACTGCGTGGGCGACACTGACCGTCCAGCCGGGGACTCAGCTGGGGCCTTTTTTAACACGCCGGGGGGAGGGATGCTCCAATCAGTGTGGCGCGGGGGCGTCGCAGCTCGGGACCCCGCGATCGGGGACGCCGCCAGCTCCCCGCCCTCCCAGCTGCAGGCGCCGCGGCTACTCCACCTCCTCCTCCTCTCTCGCTCCAGCTGTCCTTCTGCCCCCCCCCCACTCTTTTTCCGCAGTGAGAGATAAGGAGGCCTCGGGATGGCGGTGCTGGAGAAGAGCCCCCAAAGCCGGGTTCCTGGGATGCCGGCTGCGCGCACCCAGGCCCTTCCAGATTCTCCGCGCGGAAACTGCAGCAGCCCTGAGGGCCCCCTGCTAAGACCCGGGTCTTGCTTCCCTCCCCCCCCACCCCCAGGGCGCGGAAGGCGGTCCCCGAAAAGTCCCACGGGGAAGGGAGAGTGGAACAATGATTTAATCCCTGCTCCGTGCACCTCGAGCCGAATCCAGCCCCTAGAGCTGCAGTGGGCAACAAGGAGGTCACAAATGAACCCCGCTTTTAGACCCGGGAAGGACATCACCTCCAGAGTCTAGTGATGACGGAGACTTAGGGAGGAAGGCAAAGGAGCCAGACTTAGTAAACCACACGACAGGAGTCAGTGAAATCTGAATTTCAGTGGACACAGCGGTCATTTCTTAAGTCGAGGCCAGTGTTTTATCTGCTAATCCTAAATTTCAAATTTGGGGATGGGGGCGGGGGTTGGAAAATAGCACCTACCTATAGAGACTCCCTCTTCACAGAGGCTGGGACATTGTGACCGGGTTTGGGGGGTTCTTCAAAGAAAACCCGGCTCCCACGTGCAGCTCCCGCATCTGTTACACCCGGTTCCCAGCAAGGCGCGTAGACTCTCACGTCCGGGACTTGCGCCACCTGACCGCGATGCTGGGATCCCTGCTGCACGGTTGCCCAAGGCAAAACAGATGAACAACAACAACAAAACCCCCAACAGACCCGCGGAATTGAGTTTTATCGGTGCCACCCACCAACAGGTGACCGCCAAAGGTTCTGTCCCAGGCGAGCGACCCTGGACCAAGGGCGGGCCAAGTTAAGTGGGTCTCCTGCTCCCCAGCCTCCCGTGGTCCCCCCAGGGGGCGGCACACGGCCGGCGGGGCGGCTGAGAAAGACCAGTGCAGGAGCCTGGGCATTAACTTTCCATTATTAGAGGGAGACCCAGATCTGCCCTCGCAAGCTGTTCCCAGGATTAGCAGAACAATAACTTTCCTTTGGCGTAATTGTCCTTTGAATCGTTGGGGTCTGGGCGTGGTTTTCCCCGGCTCGGTCTGGAAATGCATCTCCCAGCTCATCTCCGAGCTTCGAGGGAGCTGACCCAGGCCCCAGACTAGAGGCGCTGAGTCTTCTTGGCCCTAGCGCTGGCGCTCGCAAACGGGAATTTAGGGCCTGGTGGGTGCAGGGAGGAGGGAGGCGGTCACTCTGGTGGGTGCGCGTGTACTTGGAACACTGCGTGCCTGGAGTAACCACGCTGCCTAAATACAAATCAAAGACAAATAAATACAAATAAAAAGATAGTAGGCTGTTCACACACCCACAACGCGCCCCTCGGCAGGCAGCAGAATGTTACCATGCCCGCATGCCCCGGGCTCTCTGGGCCTCCTGACCCGACTCAGTGCCTGCTGCAGACCATGGGCCCCGAGGAAGAACTCCCAGCTGAGCCGAGCGGCCGAGCATCCCGCCGTTCCCGACAGCCTCACAGCCTCTTTGGTAGGTGGGGAAACCGAGGCTTCATGGACTTGCCCTCTCGAAAGAAGGAGTACACCGGGGCAGCTCTGCCAGGGCGGGCACCTCGCGCCCTCGCACCGCTGGGAGCGGGACACTTTCCTCCGTCGCCCGTGCACCCCGCGGGGGGCTCCTGCGGGGTGCGGGGTCTGGGGCCCGCGTTCATCCGCTCGAGCTGGCGAGGCCCTGGCGGCGGCGTCTGCTGGGCCGAAACCTAGTCTTTTAGGGGACGTGGAGATCTGCCACGGAGGAGCAGGTCAGCCCCGCGCGGCCGGCGCTGTGTCCGTGAGACGGACGCCGCTGGACACGCTTCATTCCCCTGTCCCTCCGCGCGCTCCCATGTCGGCTGCGTGTTTGGGCGCTTCAGATCACCCCACGCCACCCGCGCACCTTGGGAAGCCGAAATCCATTAAGGGGTCTGTTTCTGCTGCCTGCATCAACTAGGATGATCAGGGACTGAACTAATCAGTCAAGTTTCCCCCGCTCATTATTTTCCAGGGAATATTTCCAACCCTGATCAGGACTCTCGGCTTCCCAGGCCCCAGCGCGCTCCTGCTGCCAAGCCCGCGCGAGGCCAGGCTCTTCCCGGAAAGAAGAGACTTGGGGTGGCTCCGCAGACACCTGGCTTCACGCTCACGTGCCGCCAGACTGGAGGATAACGCGAACTGTGCCAGTACCATGCTGTTTTAATTATTACTGCCCTGTAGTAGAGTTTGAAGTTAGGGAGGTTGATTCCTCCCATTTTCTTTTTCCCAAGAATTGCTTTAGCTATTCGTGGGGGCTTATTGTTCCATATGAATTTCAGGAGTGTTTGCTCCAATTCTTTGAAGAATGTCATGGGTATCCTAATAGGGATTGCGTTGAATTTATACAGTGCTTTGGGAAGTATTGCCATTTTGACAATGTTAATTCTCCCGATCCATGAACAGGGGATATTTTTCCATTTCCTCGTATCCTCTTTTATTTCCTGAAGTAGAATTTTGTAGTTTTCTTTGTACAGGTCCTTTACTTCCTTAGTTAAGGTGATTCCTAGGTACTTGATTTTCTGGGGGACAATTGTGAATGGGATTGTTTTCTTCATGTCTTTTTCTTCTCTTTCACTATTTGCATATAGGAAAGCCATGGACTTTTGGGCATTGATTTTATAACCTGCCACTTTACTATACAAGCCTATTGTTTCTAGAAGTTTCTTGATAGAGGTTTTAGGGTTTTCTAAGTATAGTATCATATCATCTGCAAATAGTGAGCGCTTGATTTCTTCCTTTCCTACCTGGATGCCCCTAATATCCTTTTCTTGCCTAATCACTATTGCAAGTACTTCCAATACTATATTGAACAGCAGTGGAGAGAGTGGACATCCTTGTCTCGTCCCTGATCTTAGAGGGAAGGCTCTCAGTTTTTCGCCATTGAGGACGATGCTTGCTGTAGGCTTGTGGTAGATGGCTTTAACTATATTGAGAAAAGTCCCCTCTATCCCCATTTTGGCTAGGGTTTTCATCATAAATGGGTGCTGGATCTTGTCAAATGCTTTCTCTGTATCTATTGATATGATCATATGATTTTTATCTTTTCTTTTGTTGATGTGATGGATTATGTTGATTGATTTCCTAGTGTTAAACCAGCCTTGCATCCCCGGGATGAATCCTACTTGGTCATGGTGTATGATCTTTTTGATGAGTAGTTGAATTCTATTTGCTAGTATTTTGTTGAGAATCTTCGCATCCGTGTTCATCAGGGATATCGGCCTGTAGTTTTCTTTTCTCGTGGTATCTTTGTTTCCTTTTGGTACTAGAGAGATATGGGCTTCATAGAAACTGTTTGGGAGAGTTTCCGTTTTTTCAATTTCCTGAAAGAGCTTGAGAAGGACTGGCAGCAGGTCCTCTGTGAACGCATCAGAAACGCATGGCCCTTGCCATGGTCTATACCAAGGAGCCCCTGAGCTGTCTGTCTTCCCCCCTTTCTTGCCGCCACTCCTTCTTGGTTGCCTTTATCCTTCTCCAGAGGCATTTCAGCTCTGTCCGTATCTCAGCATAGCCACCTCTGCGCACCCCGCCCCAGTGCATACACTGCATTCCTCACCTGGGTCTTTCTCTGGGTCTCTTTGTCCACCAACCAGAGGGAACAAAAAAATTTTTTTAACTGATAGAGGTTCTGTGATTTACAGTACTGTTAATTATGTTCCCCCACCCCCGCACACACATGGTTATACCACCACACCTATTGCCAGTGTACCTCAATCCCTATCCCCAAAGGCCCCAGTGCCCCTCCCTTTTAACTCCCTCCAAACCAAATCAGTTGTGCGGATCAGCACCCCCCCCCATCTTGTATTGACTTTGGCCCTTTGTAACTACCTAATTGAGTATCTTTAAGTCCCACATATGAGACAAAGATGGAGACCATTCTGTATCCATTCCTTTCCTTCTGACTTCACTGAGAACATCGTGCTGATTGATTCTATCCATATTGCAGCAAATTACATGATTTTGTTCCTTTTTTAGAACTGCATAGTCTTCTACCATGTATATATATATACACCACAGCTTCTTGATCCAGTTATCTGTAGTTGGGCATTGGTTGTTTCTATATCTTGGCTATTGCAGTATGTGTGGTGATAAATATAGGTTTCAAATTAATGTTTTTGTATTTCAGGAATAGATGCCAAGAAGTGTATTGCTGGATCATATGGAAGTTCTATTCCCTTTTCCCCCAGGGATTTCCTTATTGTTACACAATAGTGGCTGGGGATTCCTATCTCAGCCGTTTCTGCCATCAGTGGCTTTAAGTCAGGCCAACTTCATGGGGTGCCTCAGGCAGGCAGGTATCATCCCTCCACCTGACCCCTAAAAACCCCAGCAGCTGCCAACTTCCAAAACCCAATGAATAGTGCAGGTACATGGGTTCAGTGACGACAAACTCCTGGCCTCACAAGATAGGGAATGGGCAGGTCCTTCTCATCTTCTCATCCCCATGGGACCCTGGAAGTCACGCCCACAAACTGCCTGTGGCTGCTAGTTAAACTGCCTGTGGCTGCTACTTAAGCTCCTTAATGGTCATGATCCAGAAACACACAAAAGAATTTCTGAACTGAGAAGCTCACTGCAGAGATTTCTCCAGACCCTAATTATCTAAAATTTTAGAATTCCAGGAAAGTGTGGCCACGACATCTTATGCTATTCATAACAAGCAATACAAAAGAGAATATGGGGGA